TGTGTGTGTGACACACACAGACACATGCGCGCACGCGCGCAGGCAGGGCCGCTTCAACAGTTTCATGTGTGCATGAATTGAGCAGCCTTCGAATGTGCAAAATGAGAAGGAGAGTATGGAGAAAGGGGCTGTGAGATGCAACCCCATCCCCAATCCCCTTCCCCTCCTTCTCCCCCTCCTTCTCCCACTCCTCCTCCTGCTCCTCCTCCCGCTCCTCCTCCTCCTCCCGTTCCTCCATCAAACAACATGACAAAAATCCCGCCATAGCCCTGCTCCCGCTGCTTCTCCCGCTCCTCCCCCCTCTCCTTCTCCCGCTCCCTCTGTTGCTGCTCCTCCGGCTCCTCCTGCTGCGCGTCCTCCTTCCGCTGCTTCTCCTGCTTTTCCCACTGTTCCTCCTCCCCCTCCTCCCGCTTCTCTTCCCGCGCCATAGCCCCCCTCCTGCTCCTTCCCCGCTCCTTCTCCCATGCCTCCTCTCGCTCCTTCTCCCGCTCCTCCCACTGCTCCTCCTCCTCCTCCTCCTCCCCCTCCCGATCCTCCGCCAAACAACATGACAAAGATCCTGCCATAGCCCCGCTCCCGCTTGTTCTCCTGCTGCTCCTCCCTCTCCTCCTCCTGCTCCTTCTCCTGCTCTCCCCCCTGCTGCTTCTCCTTCTCCCGCTGCTTCCCCTGCTCTTTCCCCTGTTCCTCCTGCCACTCCTCCCGCTCGTCCTCGTGCTTCTCCCGCTTCTCCTCCTCCACCTATATCTCCTTCCCCTCCTCCGCCTCCTGTGCGTTCGTTAACCCACTCCCCGTTTCCCCTCCCGCTCCCCCTCCTACTCCTTCTACCGCCCCTCCTCCCGCGGCTCCTCCGCCCCTTCCCGTTTCTCCTCGTGCTCCTTCTCCCGCTCCTAACCCCCTTCCCGTTTCCCCTGCCGCTCCTCCTTCTCCAGCTCCTCCTCCCGTGGCTCCTCCGCCCCTTCGGATTTCCCCTCCGGCTCCTTCTCCCGCACCTGCTCCCGCTCTTCCTCCCACTCCTTTTCCCGCTCCTTTTCCCATCCCTCCTCCCGCTCCTTCCGCTCCTCCCGCTCCTCCTCCCGCTCGTCCTCCGCCAAGCAACGTGACAAAGATCCCGCCATAGCCATCTCCTATGAAAAAAAACAAAAGAAAAATGGCCCGCCACGTGGCTAGTCGAGAGAGAGAGAGAGAGAGAGAGAGAGAGAGAGAGAGAGAGAGAGAGAGAGAGAGAGAGTTTTCCATCGATAGAATGAGCAACGCACCGGACAACAGGCAATTCTTTTGCTCATCCTATCGATGGAAATAGCGTGAGG